CCTGATCCGCGGACGTAGGTGATCCCGAGGTCCTTCGTCTCGTTGAGGTAGGACATGATCCGCACAAGCGCGTTCCACATCCTCTCGGTGGGTGAGTGGGCGATCTTCTGCAGCTTGTTCAAAGGCAGCGCGATGTCCGGCCTCGTGAACAGCAACCACATCAGGCATCCGATCGCTTCCCTCACGGGCTTGTCCACCGAGGACTCGTCGTCTCTCTTCGGCCCTAGGTCATCGTCGACGACAGCGGGCGTGGGAGCAGTGGTCGTGACATTGAAGCGGTTGAGCATGCTCTCGATATAAGCCGTCTGGGACAGCTTGGTGGTACCATTCTCAAGGTCCACCTCAATGGCACACCCATCGTACCAGGTACAATCTCCTAGATCCTTCACAGAAAATCTCTCCTGGAGAGACGCTAGCAACTCTTCACGCTCCTCCTCGGTCGCGGACAACATGATGTCATCCACGTAGATCACGATGAGACCAACGACTTTTCCGTCAACCACCTTGCGGAAAATGCAGGGGTCCACCCTGCACTGCTCGTAGCCGTTTGAGATCAGGGCATCGGCAGCCTCAAACCCCCACTCGCGCCCACTCTGCTTGAGTCCATACAGAGCACGCTCGACTTTCACCGCCTTGCCAGTCCAAACACCACAACCGTCTGGAAGCCTCAGGTAGATTTCTTCCTTCAGCTTGGCGTGTGTGTACGCCTGCTTGATGTCCCAGTGGACAGGCCTCCTACCATTCTCGGTGGATACGGCCACCATACTTTTGATGGACACCGCGGAAGGGCATGAGGATGATGAGTGGTGAAAATCCACACCGGGAATCTGAGAAAAACCACGCGCAACCATACGTGCTTTGAAGTCGACAATCAGCCCCTTCTCATTGGTCTTGTGCGAGAAAATCCACTTCGCACTGATGGCCTTACGCCCCTCGGGCAGACCGCTAATCTCGGAAAACGTCCCCGTCTTCTTGTGGCCGTCGAACTCCTTTGCTATGGCTGCTTCCCACAGCACCTTGTACTTGGAGTTAAGGACATCCTTGTACGTCAAGGGCACGCACTCTACATCACTTGGCTTCTGGCCAAAGGGCGAGGGGATACTTAGCTGCGGGTCATGAAGAGGTTGCGATGACCCGTCGTCCCCTGCCTCTGCACCGAACGCCTCCTCCTGCAGCTCGGTGCCGTACGGCAGCTCATGCATCTCACGCCGGTACTCGATGTTGACCTGCTCCTCGTCGTACCGCTGCCGCACCATCGAGTTGGAAACGTAGTCCACGATGATCTCCGCCAGCAGCGCTTGCTCGGCGTCTGGCTCGGCGTCTGGACCCGGCGGCTGCTCGGGGTCTTGCAGCTTCCGGGTCTCCCTTCGTNTAGTCCACGATGATCTCCGCCAGCAGCGCTTGCTCGGCGTCTGGCTCGGCGTCTGGACCCGGCGGCTGCTCGGGGTCTTGCAGCTTCCGGGTCTCCCTTCGTGTGCGGCCGCGCTCGAGCCCGTGGCGCAGCGGTCCTTCCTTCGAGGCGCCCCAGAGGAGCCGACGCCCTTCGCGGCCCGGCGGGTAGCGGCTGTCGGCGGGATCAAACTTGTACTCCTCGAGTTGCTCGGAGTCTTCGCCGGGTTCGCTGCCGCCGCCACCGCCATCTCCAGAGGCGCCGGGCTCACTGCCGCTGGCGCCGCCGCCGTCGTCGTCGCCGGCGGCGTTGCTGCTGCTGCTGTCGCTCTTGCTGCTGCTGCTGCTGCTGATGGTGCTGCTGGTGCTGCTGCCGCTGCTGCCGCTGCTGCCGCTGCTGCTTGCATCGAAGTCGCCCCCTGCCGAAAGAGGCGACAGGGGGACGCTCGAATCAGCGTCCCCGGTCCCGTTGCCGGGTGCCGCTGGCGCCTTCTCTTGCACCGGCAGCGTCGCTCGCCCAGCCTCCGTCACGTCGAGGTCGGAATCAGACTCACTCTCCGAGTCTTTCCCCCCCCCCGCACCTTGACGGGACGTGCTCTGCTTGCTCTCGTCCTCCCCGCCCTCCTCGTCGTCTGCGAGAGGCAGCAGCTGCGGGGAAGCGGGCGAAGCGGCGGGCACGTGACGCCAGGTGAAATTTCGGGACGTGACGACGGTACCAGCTTCGGTCAATAAGCGGATGCAGTCACGGGGGTGATTGTGGGCAGGCCCAAGGTACCATCCTTTCGCGCCCTTGGGTTGCGACTTTGCCTTTCTTCTCGATTTGAACACGAGAGGTTTGAGGAACGGGTGTGTAGACCCGACCGGCGGCGGCGTACCGTGGAACAGCTCGTACGGTGATTTGTGTCCAGGGTTGCCGGTAGTGGCGGTGCAGTTCATCTGGTGGCACGCACAAGAAATGGCCTCGGCCCACAAGCCGGGGCTGACTGGTGCGTCGGGGAACATCTCTTTCGCTTGGATGCGGGAGGCAAGCGCAGAATCAGCAAGCAACCCCAACGCTCGTTCCGCTACACCGTTGTACTTGGGGGTGTTGGGGGGCGTGAATTCTTGCTTGATGCCGTATCTACGGCAGACCTCCGCAAACTGGCCCTGGAATTCTCCGCCGCCGTCAGTACGTGCGACAAACACCTCACACGGGACGGTTTCTGCTCTGTAGTCCGCCAGATATCGCTCGAACGCGGCAGCGGCGTCAGACTTGTGCTTCAGAAAGAAAACACGTGTCCAGCGGGTGCAATCATCTCGGATGATGAGGGTGTACCAGTTGCCACCAATGCTTTTGAACTGCATCCTCCCCCCCAAATCGAGAAAGAGGCGGAAGAATTTCTAAGCTGCGCGTGTGTCCGTGCTCTTCGAAATGGGCTTCACCTGCCCCTTGGACATCGAACAGCCGAGGCATGGTAGCAGCGGTCCTCCCGTCAGCTGCACTCCTTGCTGTTTCGCCGTTTTCTGGAGCAGTTCCTCGTGCGTGTGGCCGTGCGAATTGTGGTAGTAGTTGAGGTCAGTGGGGGTGGCTGCTTTCGCATCGCCAGGAACAATTATTACGGCACAGGCGATGTCTACCTTCGGCTCGATTTGATAGCCTTCTTGAGTTAGCAGCTTACCCGTCCGGGGGAACCACACCTGCCCCCCGGCTCTCGTAGTGAGAGTCAGCCCCCCCTTCTGGCCGGAATACGTGTGGCCTTCCTCGGCCAACGCCGACAGTGAGAGAAGGTTGTGGGGGGACTCGGGCACATGAGCGGCGTTCAGGATTAACACTGGTGCCTTACCGCCTTCGGTCAGAAAGACAACGGTCACGTCTACGTACCCTAGGAGAGGAACGGAGGCCTTGTTGCCTCCAATCCCCTTGACCCAACTACTACACTCGCGGTAGTTCACGAACGCGTTTGCGCATCGGAACATGGAGCACGTGGCTGCTGTATCAGCCACGTACACCATGACATCCTGGCCTAGTTCCGTTACCCCCACTAGACCTAGGTCAACAGCACCACACTCGCCTGGCAGGCCCGGCGCCGCGCAGAAGGCCTGGTTGTCGACGGAGTCGGCGTCGCTGTCGGCATGGACGATCTGCGCCAGGACGGCCTCCTCCGTCGCGCACGTGTCCTTGCTGTGACCCCATCCTGCGCAGTGTGAGCACTGCGGGAGGTAGTCGCTCTCCTTGGTGGTGCAGTCCTGCTGCGTGTGTCCGAAACGGCCACACGTGAAGCACCGGCCCGGGAACTTCTTGTCCCCGGTACCGCCGCCACCTCCCCCTCCAGAGCCACTCCCCTTGCTCTCCTCGACGCCGCCACAGCCTTTTCCGCTGCTGTCGCCGCCCCCGCGGCCGCCGCTGCGGCCACCGCCACGACCACGCCAGGACGACCGCCCTCGGCGGCCGCCCCCACGCCACGACGACCGCCCACGGCGGCCGCCTCCATCGGCGAGGTAGGCCTGCTCGGCGCCGCGCGCGCCCTTGCCTTTCCCCGCCTTCACCTTCTCCATGATCGATCGATATTCGATGGTGACCTCCTTCAGGACGTCACTCCTTGTCAACCTCTCCTTGTGTCTGAGGGCGTGCTTGGTCATAGCGTACTCGTTGGAGAGGGCATCCAAGAAGAGGTGCAAAACGAAGGTTTCGTTAACATCAAGCCCCCGTTTCGAAAGGGACTCTGCGGTGGCGAGCATACTGTTGAGAGCATGTTGCGGATTCTCTGCCATCGGGATCTTCTTGGATGTCAGGGATTTTTACTCATCCGCAGGCTGCATGGACGATTCTGGGTCGTACAACCCCTTCAACTTACGGAGCGCCCCTAGGGGCGACTCAGCTCGCTTCATTATTGTCCTGTCTTTCTCGTCCTTGAGAGCTCCACGGAGGAAATTCCACGC